CGTACGTCGTTGCAAGGCCTCGATTATATATCAGCAATGGGTGGTCAGGCCTTTGATGATCTAGAGAACGTCGTTGACATGCTTGGAGATCGTTATGGCAAGGGTGTGGCATGGGCCAAACAAACAAACCAAAAACTCAAAGATGCTAAACGTTACTTAAAAGGAGACTACAAGGTATAAACAAGTGAAAGCTTATTGGATTTTTTGTAGATTCGCGCATGTAAGAATCATTCTAGAATAGTTGATTTTGTATCTGATTCATATATTCTTTTTAGATTCACATTTCTAGCAATTCTGAAGTTGCGGACCACTGCAGAACATATGCTCTCAGTTTTTCAAATGATGAAAATTATACCACCAGCTGTGATCATGAGCACAAGGGAAAGTGTGATAGATGCAGTATATTTCCTGAGACTCTAGCTGATATTTGAGCATCTTTGGAAGAAGTAAATTTCCCTCTTGAAGAGAAAGAAAACATGGAGTACGTTACTACACAAGCAGCTCAACACATTAGATCCTGGAAAGCACATATTTTAAGATCAATTAATCAGGACGCAGCACGACACGACATTTTAAAAGTCTTGGATTCTCATTCTGCACTTATCGTTCTAGACTGGGCAATGAAATTCATTCCTCGCAAATACCGTGAAAGCCAGAGAGATTGGTTTGCAAAACGGGGACTTCCTTGGCACATAGCGGTATTAACAAAGAAGAATGATGATGGCGACCTCCAAGTTCTTACTTTTTTGCACTTGTTCAAGTCTTGTAGCCAGGATAGTGGCGCTGTTGTTGCAATCATTCATGACGTCTTAAGTCAGCTCTCAACCATTGCACCAGAGGTGCACACCGTATATCTGCGTCAAGATAATGCAGGGTGCTACCACTCTGCATTAACTCTGCTTTCTCTGCCAACGATAGAGAGATCAACTGGAATTCAAATCAGACGTATCGATTTTTCCGATCCCCAAGGGGGGAAGGGAGCGTGCGACCGAGAGGCAGCTCATATTAAAAATCACATGAATAAATACCTGAATTCAGGGAACGATATCGAAAATCCCGAGCAAATGAAGACAGCAATCGAGTCCTTTGAAGGCATCCGAGGAGTGAAAGTAACAGTGTGCGCTCCACCACCTGGTGTCAAGGGAATGGCAGGGGAATGGAATGGTGTGAGTCTCATTAACAACATAGAGTACCGCAATGAGTCCATGACGGTGTGGATGGCATACAGTAATGGTCCAGGCAAAGTCCTTCCTTTGACCAATTTCTGTCGACCCCCAACGGCACCAAAACTTATCCATAGCGAGGAAACCGAGGACACAGTATCATTCGTCGCAGTGAAAGCAAGACAACAACCCAAGAAATCTCGCGAACAAAATAATACTGATCCAATGGAGGATGAAAGCAACGATGAAAAAGTCGACACGTACAGCAAATTATTTCTCTGTCCTGAACAAGGCTGCATTAAATCATTCCACAGGTACTCTTCTCTAGAAAGACATTTGCATTGTGACAACCATACCTACGTACTAGAGCATGAAACCCTTTATGACAAGGCTATGAAGCTATATGCAACAAAACTGGAAGAAGGATCCGGTAAAAACCCGATACCAACGGAGTTAGAGAGCGTCGAGTTGCCAGAGCCAGATATTGGCCCTGAACTTCAGATGGGCTGGGCTTTGAGAACTTCCACTAAGGGAAAGCGGTTTTCCGATGTTCAGAAGAAGTACCTGGTTGACGTGTTTGATGCTAGAGAGCAAACAGGGCGAAAAGCCGATCCGGGTGATGTGTCAAGAGCAATGAGATCTACAAGAAACAGCGACGGCTCGCGACTTTTTAACAAGGGCGACTTTTTAACACCGCAGCAGATTGCAAGTTTTTTCTCACGATTGGCGAAAAAAAGAAGGGAAAATACATCGGGCGATAAAGATAATGAAGAAAGGGGTGATGGTGATGACAATGACTACGAGGAAGACGATTTAAATAAGAAAGATTTCGAAAAGAGAAGAGGACAAGAAATCGAAGAATTATCAGCTTCCTTGATTGACGCAATTGGCCTGAAGCATCCAATAATGTTCGATAGGCACAATATTTGTGAATTAACAAGTCAAAGAAAACTTTCCAAATTCTCTGTTTACATGCTACAAGAAATTTGTTCGTCATTCGAACTTAATATTACTGACAGCACTGGCAAGCGCAAATTCAAAAAACCGTACATTGATTTGCTAGAAAAACTGGTTCAAAGTTGCGGTTGCTGAACTAGATTACAATGATATGGCGTCAAAGGTAAACACGTCAGAATATTCTATTATTTAAAGAGAATCATCTTTATACTAATATTAGTAAACCCTCGATAACGTATCAGCAAATTTATAGTCTATATAAATTTAAGTTAATGAGACAAGGTGTGGTGGTAAGATGAGGTACATATGGTTTATATCAACCTAATCTTTGACAGTTAGGTCTAAGGTCTTGACAGATAGGTCAAAGATCATCTTCTGCCAGCTAGCACACATTCACGTGAACAAACCGTGAAACACACTGTGAACCAATTGAAAACCTTGTACGACTCTGTTCTGTGCTTTGACCAATCATAGGGCACAATACAGCCCATCGTAATTGGCGCCAAAGCCTTAATTAAAGGCAAAGCGGCGAGTGAGCCAGGGTCTTAGCTAGAGGGCCGTGTTGGCCGTGTTATCGCGGCCAAAAATGGAAAAACACGGCTAGATAAAATGAACGCGGCTTCATTATTTACATAAGGCCGTATAGGTTCATAAAACAAGATGGTGCTACTTACAATTACAGACAGAATTTCTTTCTATTTACGTCTTAAGAAACTTTGTAAAATCTATTGTTGTTGTTGAAATTGGCAAAAGTGATCCGTGATGTTCTAATGTTTTGATGGATAATGGGAACCGAAAGGTGTTAAAGTGGTTTTAAATACCCCCAAGAGTTGCCGAAATAACTTAAATGTCAGTGCGCAGTACGAGTATATGCTCGCCATGTATTTGGTTGCAAAGCATAGAACAACCACAGGCATTGTCCATTGTTGTAGAACCGTGAATTTGGCTATTCAAGGTAACTGACATGTGCACACCCTGGTCACTTAGAAACACGCCCAAGATCTAAAATCCTAGCTAAGACCCTGGAGTGAGCTATAACTGCGGTTTCGTTTAAGCCACAAAAGTTTAACGTGTACATTTCACAATGCCGCAACTCACAATACTGGATATACTGTTGGGATATATAGTAGGCCTATTTTTAATATCACTAGACTTACTTCATATACGCATAACTTAATTATATGTGAACTTTTGTAGTACAGTACAGACTGCAAACGCACTAGAACAAACAGTTTGAGCCATGCCTCCAAGACCAAGAGTGGCAATCAGACAAGCCCGAAAATTAATTTGTCCAGCTGAACGAAATATGCTTTGCGAAATGTACAATTTTGACTGGCACGCAGCTCGAGTATAGGTTTTCTATCTATACAAATTGTTCTTTGTACTAATAGTAAAGACTAAAGACAAAT